ATGAGTCGCCTGCGACTCGACAGCACTTAACAACAACAACAACAACATGATTATCATAAGAGTTCGGGATGAGAGTTGCAGAGTGGAGTATACTCAGGGTGGGGGTGAGGGGGTGCAGGGGGATTGTATACCAATGAAGGAGTTTTTCTTTTGCTTTTCAAGAAGAAGAGTGAACTTGGGGTGGGGTTGGGTGGGCGGGGAGAAAAGTGCAACAATGAATGAATGGAAATCCAAAATCTCTGCAAATGTTCATTGAAATTAATACAATTTAAAAAAAAAGAGTAAGCCTCTGAGTAAGCACAGCCTACAGTAGTCTGACCCCCTGCCGTCCAGTCACCACTGATTCATGGCAACCCTCTGTTGGGTTTATGAGGCTGTAAGTCCCATAGAGCAGCTGGTGGACTTGAACTCTTGGCTCTTCAGTTAGCAGCCGGATGTGCAACACACTATACCACCAGGAAAATAATGTTATAGGAAAGAAATTTAAAAAGTAGAAGGTAAAGGAATTCAGATGGGGTATAAAGCAGCAGGTTACAGTTTTAGAATGTGTGCTGAGGACTGCCCTCTTTAAGGTCATATTTAAGCAAAGCCTTGAGGGAGGTGTGGGTCATACAGATAGCTATTGGCCAAACATTCCAGGAAACTGGTGCAGCAAGTGCAAAGCAGTGTGCAGATGTGGATTATGGTTGGATTTAGAAATAGAGTTAGTGTTAGTGTTGGAGTTGGAGTTAGTGTTAGAGTTGTTAGAGTTGGAGTTAGTTGATGATAGATTTGGAGTTAGAGCTGGAGTTAGAGTTGGATTTAGAGTTAGAGTTGGAGTTAGGAGGCCTTTGCCATGTTCAGGGTGACTCCCTTTCTTTCCCTTTCTACCAGCGTGCAGTTGGTTCAGATACTGGAGAGATTGAGACAACCTGAAAAATGCCCAGTGCATACATTCATGCTTCGCCTTCTGTGTGTGTTTTCCCCGCAGCCACATGACACAGGCAATCCCATTTGATGACCCTCGCTTAGAGAGCTGCCAAATCATCCCTCCGGCTCCTCGGAAGGTGGAAATGAGAAGGGACCCCGTACTGGGATTCGGTTTCGTGGCAGGGAGTGAAAAGCCAGTGGTCGTTCGCTCAGTCACACCAGGTAAGTTTCCACCCACCTCCGTAGCCCTCGGGACATCCCAGCACCCCCTGCCTCAAGGACTCCTGTTTGGTCCCTTGAGCATTTGGAGTTGGGAAGCCTGTGCCATGTTGTTTCAACACCTGTGCAGAGCCAGCCCTCCATAGAAACAGAGGGCTCCTGCTACTAGATTTTCTTTGTATTGATTTTCTTTTATTCTTGGTGTGGTTCAGGTTAAAGTTCATGGAGCAAACTGGATTTTAAATGGACCAATCCCTCCTTTCTCCTGACTAAGGGGAACCCTGCACCCATCATTTGTAACCATGGAAATGACCTGGTTCTTTGCAAACAGAGGCAAGTACTGTTCTGTGCCTCCATGAGCTCGTGAAGAACTTCTTAGGAAAAACAAATGGCAAGTGGTGTTAAAGCCACATGAGGATCTAGCCATTGGGGTGGTTGGACTGTTTACAAGTATACACACACTCCCCATGATGTCAGTTTGCAGACTAAGGTGCACCTGATTCAGGTCATGGTCTTTTCAATCACTTGCTGTCCATCTGAGTTCTGTACAGTGACTAAGGATGACAGGAGAAGAATTGATGTATTTGAATTGTGGTGTTGGAAGAGAGTACTGAATATGCCAACAACTGTCAAAGGAACAGGTAGGTTGGATAAAAGGGCAACTAGAAAGGCTCTTTTGATGCAAAGATGATGAAGTTTCATCTCACATAATTTGGGCATATTGCTAGGAGAGGTTATTCCTCAGACAGGGACAATATGCTTGGGAAGATGGAGGGGTGGTGAAGGAGAGGAAGACCCTCAACCAGGCGGATTGACACGGTGACTAAAGCAATAGCTTGAGGAGGTCAGAGACTGTAAGGATGGCACAGGGTAGGACAGGGTTCGGGTCAGTTGTTTATAGGGTCACTATGAGTAGTACTCGACTCGACAGCACCTAACAACAACGATTACCACTAGACGGCAGAATAGATTTCTCAGCCACGTTGTATTGGATTGGTTCATGTGATTGGCCTCGATCAAAGGAGTGTTGGCAAAAATGATGCTAGCAAAGATTTGAAATACGCTTGAGCAGTCCTAGTTCTTAGCATTCCCTCCTGACTTTGGAGCAGGTCCCTTTGGGTAGCTGCCATCCCTTTGCCGTGAGCCCCACCATAAACTCAAGGAGCACCAGAACACACAGAGAGGCACCGGCGAAGTGGCAGGCTGCATTCACAGGAAAGACTCCTACAAAACAAGATGCGAGACCCCACACTGAGTTTTGGAAGGTTTGTTATGCAACAGATGCTGACAGATAGACTCAGTGCCAAACAATGCATGACTGGAAACCCAAAGTCTCTGTAAACTTTTATTAAAATTAATTTTTAAAATGGCTTCAATCCTACAACACAGCAGATAACAAGGTACTGTACATTATCAGGTGATAGCGATGATCTTCTGTCCACATATTTGAACACAGTAAATTATGATACCACCACCAGAAGTGGATTGTCTTTACTTTTTCTCAAACAATATTTTGGGTTGGTTTTTTTTCCTCCCTCTAAACCCTGAACTTTTCATTTACTTCCTATGCATATGAAAGTTGAGCCATGAGTAAGGTTGACAGGAGAAGAATATATGCCTTTGAATGGTGGAGGTGTTGGAGAAGAGTAGTAAATATCCCACGGACTGACAAAAGAAAAGCAAGTCTTTGTTACAGGAAGTGCATCCCGGGTGCTTCTTAGAGGCAAGGATGCTGACACTAGCTCTCCCATTCTTTGGACATGTCGTCAAGAGGATCCAGTCCTTGGATAAGTACATCCTGCTGGGAAAGGTGGAGGACCAAAGACAGAGAGGAAGACCCTTAACAAAATGGCTTTATAGTGACCGTGACAATGGACTCAAGTGTATCAGAGATCATGAAGTTGGAGCAGGAGAGGAAGATTCAGATCTGTTATTGATAGTATCGCTTTGAGTTGTAGTCAACTCCCAGCATCTAACAACAATGTGTTTGCTTGATTGGTCTTATATTGGATTTCTTTTCAGACACAAGGGAAATCTCCAGGATTCTGCAAATCTGTAACTGAGTTCAGTAGCAAAGTATTATAGTTAATAGCGCAGACACTAGGATCAGAGGTAACCTTCAGTAATGTATCTGTGGAGACCACATGTGTATTTGCCGTAATTCTGGGCACGTATACATTATGCATACATAGTGGTAAGAAGCTGCACTGCAATTCCAAAGGCATGCAGTTCGAGACCAGCAGCTGTTTCATGGGAGAAGGTTGCACAAACTCCTCCTGTGCAATTAACTGCTTCTGAAAAAGCACTGGAGGGTCAGCTATGGGTCAGTTCCACCTCTACGGTACACAACAACAACAACATATACCATATATAATATTATATATAATACAGTTTGTGTGTATATATAAAATTTTTTTGTATGTACATATACAGACATCCACACTTTAAATGATCGAAATAATTTTCAGTTCCCATTAGGGGAGTCTCCAGAATGTGTGTCCTTCTCAGAGCTCACTGAAGAGTCTAGTCTTGTTGCTCATTTTGCTGAATCACTTTATTATTCCTTGAACCTCCTTTCTTCTTTTCCTTTGAGTCTCTTAGCGTCTGACCCAAAATGCTATGGACAGAAGTGAAGACAGAGGTCAAAGAGTACGGTTTCCTCTCATTTTATAAGTGAAAGTGTTGGTCAAATAAAGTATGTCTTTCCTAAAAATTGGAACTCTGGTGACTTAGTTGTAAGATGTTGCACCGCCAACCCAAAGGCACATGGTTGAAATTCACCGGTTAGTTCACCAGAGAAAGATGATTCTTCAGTGTGATTTACCGCCTCTGGAAACCCACTGGAGGGTCAATTATGGCTTGATTCTGACTTGATAATCCATAACAACAACATAAAAATAGGGCGCTCTGGTGGTAGCATCCCTAGTTGTGCTTCTGCAGTGGTTCAAGTTCATCAGAGGATCCAAGGGAGAAAGATGGCCAGTCTCCCTCATTGTGATTTAAAGCATCAGAACACCAGGGGAGGTGTCACCTTAACAACACTGAGGGACTGAGTGATCATAAAAATGAATCCACTGAAATCCCAGGAGTGTGTTGAGTTTATGCAAATCCTAAGGGATTTCAGTGGTGTGACCCATTTTTCTATACTAGACAATCCAATTGTCAGACATAAGGGCATGAAACCATTCTCCCAAGTGTGATATTATTTCATGTTTTGGAAGGAATCGCATGTTGTTTTCTGTAGAATTCTGGGTTCCAGTTGCTTGATTACACAAAAGCGTTTCCATTTGATTGAAAAGTATAGGTCAAATGGATGAGTATATCCCATTAATTTTAGAGTGTTTTTTCTTACCAGACTAATTAACATCCATCAGGCAGTTACTGTGGGTATTGTTCTGCATTTGATTATTAACCATGTGTTTGCTTGAATTTCACTGACAGCTTGCACACAAACCGATAGAGTCCCCAGTGACTTTCTAACTTCTTGTGTGCAAATATGACCCCTTCAGTTCCCCAGAGAGCAGACAAGTGTGAGCAGCATATTGAGTGACACACATGCCAACTGGCTGGGTAGGTGGAGCACAAGTGAATTACTTTCAGCTCCACGTTCTGGGGATGAAGTGTTCACTTTGATTACTAAATAAAACCACGGCGATAATGTTTGAAAGATAACACTTCCGTTTCACCTGTCACCCAGTGACAGAACTCTGGAAGTTACATTAAAACTATAGCGCCATATCAATATTGGTGGAGTGATCGCACATATCTAGAGATGTGAAAGGAAACCAGGTAACCGAAGCATTTGTTGATAGGTCTTTATTAAAATGCTTAGTTCACACAGATGTGGTTTTAAGTTTTATGTGTCAAGAGGCCTAGGAGCAACTCCTCTGCGAATTTTGGGAGCAAGTTCAAAAGAGATTCTGGCTGTTCTGAATTTGGAAGAGTCAGCTGACTGAACTGAGACCCAGTCTTTTCCACTTGAAGCCAATTCCTTAACCTTTGTGAGGCTCAGGCATCTCATTCTATGGAAAGGATGACAGCCTTCAGTGAGGTCTAATGGACAGAATGTGCAGACCAGTGCCTGATATATAACAAATGCACAAAAAATAAATATTCCTGCTTTGTCCATGAAGAATAGTTGTGGCTCAGTGGTGGAATTTTGGGCTTCTAAGAATGGTCACCCATGGTGGACAGTGGTGGAGCTTCCCGATTAAAACAAGCTTGGAAGCAGGAGTGGCATCCACTTCCGAAATAGCTTGCCTCGAGAAACACTATGAACAGTGCTCAAGTCCTTTGTTCATAAGGCTGCTATGAGTCGTCTACAACTCGATGGCACCTAACAACAACAACATGAGAGAGACCCGGGTTGATTCCGGGCCATTGTACTTTCTGCACAGCTACCACCTGTCGGAAGTGGCTGGAGTCTTGCCACAATGCTGAACAGGTTTCACTGAAGCTTCCAGACCAGGAAGAAATACCTGGCAATCAGCTTTCATAAACCGGTCAGTGAAATCACTATGGATCACAAAGTTTGAATCCTGTTGTACAGGGGTTGCTTTGCACTGGGGGGCCAGCTCTGTGACACCTGGTAACAACCACCACCATCTTGTCCTGGGGTAGTAACTGACATTGGGAGGCTGAGGACCCAGGTCCTTTTAGCAAGGTGTTGGACAGGAGTGATGACAGGCTGGCAGCATCAGGCAAGGCCACTCTGTGATCCTGCTGGAGCAAGGCCACAACAAGAAGACCGATCTGTAATCAGTTCTCAGCACAGACCACGACGTGTGAGAGCAAACAAAAAAAATGCCCAGACATGCACCTCGTAACTCATGGGAGCAGCTGCTTCTCAAGCAATCTCAGCTTTAGCTTTGCTTCCTGATTTTCACCTTTTACGGGGGAAAATGTAAAACATCTACATGGTCACCCATGGTGGACAGTGTTTGGTGGAGCTCCCCGATAAAAAACAAGCTTGGAAGCAGGAGTGGCATCCACTGCCAAAACAGCTTGTCTCCAGAAACTCTATGAATGTGGAGAACCGATGAAAGTTTTACAAGCGTTTAGATCTTTCGTTCACAGGGTCTCTATGAGTCATCTACAACTCGAGGATGGCACTTAACAATAACAACAGAGAAAAAAACCCATTAACAATAGAATTAACCCTACTTCCTGGCTGTATCAAATTTAGAATAAACCAGTTTCCTGGCATCCTCCCCCAAAGCTCTTAGCACATGACCAAGTCAGGCCTTTCTAATCCCCTCTGGCAGTCCCAAGGTGCTGCAAATGATTACAGTCTCATCTGCTAACTAAAAATTAAATGATCAAGTCCACCCAGAGGCACCTCAGAAGAAAGTCCTAAGGTTTACTTCCAAAAAGTCTGCAGGGGAAAGCCCAGTGGAGCACAGTTCTGCTCTGACATGCACGCGTCACCACCATACAAGTTGACATTGACTCAGCGGCAACTGGGTAACATCCTCATCCTGAAATGCATCATGGTTTCCCATGATGTGACGGCTCCTTCCTTGTGGAGAGGAAATAGATCCAACCTGGTTTTAATTCAGGCGTACTCAAGTGGTTGAAGCTTTGACTACAGCACTATTTGTTGTTGAATATCTCCTTCTAGGAGCCTGGAAGCTTATTAGAAATACCAAATCCTGGACCTCTTAGTTGTTGTTGTTGTTGTTGTTGTGTACTGTCCAGTGAGAACTGACCTATCTGACCCTCCAGTGGGTTTTCAGGGCAATAAATTACACAGGAGGAGATTTGCCCATCTGTCTCCCTCAGAGCCACATGTGGCTTCAAACCACTTACTTCTGTGTTGGCAGTGCAATTTCTTACCACTGAGTCATTATCTGCATTTTAGATCTCCAATGAATCATACGTATTAACACATGAAAATAGGCTAGGCTATTAAATCTCAAGAATATCTAGGAATTCTTAGAGTAGTATTGATGCTTGGTCCCACTCCTAAAGACTCCACTTCATTTGGGATTGATCTGGACTGACTATTAATAATTTTTAAAGGTTCCATAGTTCTGCTGTTGTTAATTACAATTGAAGAACTTTTGATCAAAAGGGGGGAAATGTAGAACAGAGTTTTGCATTTTAATGGGTTCCAGACTCTCTGGAGCCACTGTGGTTGGATTATTATGCATGAAATTATTGCCTTAAAAGATTTTGTACACTTTAAACCAAAAATATCCTATGAAGTATTTTTTAAAATCAATCAATAGTTTTCACTTCATAAAGAATGTCTACCTTTAGCATTGTGCTGTTTTAGAGATCTAACTGTATGGGAGAAAACTGACTGTAGACTCTCAAAAGTTTAAAGATGAAGTTTTTAGGTATCAGGGAGTTTATTTTAATGAAGTAGGACAACTAGGGAAAGGAAGGGAAGAATGGTTGGACAACATGGAAAATGTCATCATTGTCACTAAATTGTAAATCTGTTCTGCTGCATGTAGTTTCAACAGAAATGTTTTTTTCTTAAAAAAAAAAAAAGCAAGCTCCTTAGTTGTTTCTCACGGGCAGTCATGACTTAATAGGCCCAGGTGTGGGATAGCTTGGTTTTTGCCAGGTAGCACTATTTGCTCGCAATGAGTGATGATCTGTCTGGAGAGGAGGCTGTGGACGGGTTAACAATGGTCTTCTCACTTGTGCGTCACTCTCATTTGTCTCCAGGTGGCCCTTCGGAAGGAAAGCTGATCCCAGGAGATCAGATTGTGATGATTAATGATGAGCCAGTCAGCGCTGCCCCAAGGGAGAGGGTCATCGACCTGGTCAGGTGCGTGCCTTCCCCGTCTCTTGTGTCCTGTCACCTCGCTCTGAAGCCTGTCATCAGGCAGAGGAGGGGCTTCCTGTGAGTCAATGTGGGGCAGAAACACAAACCTACACATTGATGTCATTGCAAATGCAGGTGACAGAAATTACTACTATAAGACCAGAGCTCTGTAAATACAACCCGCCTAATTGTCCGATCTGTTTCTACATTCAGGGTGCATGCATTTATGCTCAGAATTTTTATTACTTCCATTTCCTTTGCTATAACCAAAGGTTGCATTTTTTCCCTCTCCTAGAATTACTCACACATTGATTTTTCCATAATCAAGGAATCAAAACGCAACACCTAAATACCGCTTAAGTGATGAGCAATTTTGCATACAGATTCTCACAGATACGCAAACCTGCGCTCCCCTCATTTTTCATACTTGGCTGAATGAGTCATCACTGAATTTTGAGATGATCAACCAGAGCAAAGCTAGGAAAGTTTGAAAATAGACTTGATTTGTAGCTTGCATCTTGTCACAAATGTAAGTGAACTCTTAGCATGGGATTCTTAGTAGTCCACCAGAAAATGTGTTTTACATGATGATAAAATAATGATCAAAAAGTCCTCTTAGAAGTCACTGGAATTACACTTCCACAGTGAAGCTAGTAAGAGGAGGATAACTGAGAAGCTTTTCAAATGAAGTGTGATGAGAATGGAAGCTAAAGTTATCTGGACATTTTGAACTGAGAAGGGGTTCTGTTCGCTTTTAGATGGCTTATTTCTTTTTCTTAGTAAAAATTAATATCTTTATTTGGGGATTGCTCGGCTCCACAGTCAACACTCTTGGCACCAGCAGTCAGGAAATCAAAAAGCGTAT